GAGAGGAACCGAACATATTTGAGGTGTTAAAGGAGAAAGGAGGGAGGAAGGGAGAGTTTGAGACCGATTAGTGGGCTTGACTCTACTTGTTAGTGTTCAAGGGCAGCTGTCTGCACAGCCTTATACAGACATTTCTTCAGCCGTGCTCAGCAGTTTCCTGTTAACTCCTTCATTACTAGGAAACTGGGAATTTTTTGAGTAGTGTATTTTTAAAGTTGTCACGGCCTGAAATGTTGTTTCAATTGCTGATATCGATATTTAGAGAGCAACAGTCTTGCCTAGAAACAAAGTCCAGCTTGTCTTGAAGTCATTTACCCAATAAAACTCAGGATGAACGATATGTTGCCACCCTAAACCGGCACCCATGGTTATCAGTCAAAACTGCAGAGACAATTAAATATCCAATATTGGCCAATACTGATAAATGAAACAATATATAATACAATACAATATATTCTATATATTCATTCTAAATCTATTACATCTGTTTCAAAGTGCCTTGATTCGTTTAGTCACCGTCGTGAACGCTTGATGAGCAGTTTGCATTTGCATCTGTTAATGAAGGCAATTGTTTACGTACAGCGTGCGTGTGTGTCTTCCTCGTCATTAATAATTCACTGTACACTGTTTCGTTCCTAGTTCTAGCTCGGCCTTCCCATATTAAAAATGTATGCATTTCCCATAATAGTATGGCTGTCTGAGCCAAGTTCATCCTGATCTCCCGCCTCTTTCACTCATCCTCTTTATCTCCTCTGTGATTTCTTTTATCCCGTCTTTCCTTCCATCTGGTTAACCAAAGCTCCCTCCTCCAATAGTAATCAACATCTGGGCTTGAAGTGTGTGTGTGTGTGTGTGTGTGTGTCTGCATACATGCACTCGGCAGACCATATAGTCAGTCCTTATTCGGCATTTCTTGGAGAAGGAAGTGGGCTGTGGCCTCAGTGTGATGTCACAGGAAGAGGAGATTATATCACAGTTTGGAGGAAATGAGGAGGGAGAGAATGGTGAAGATGGCTTCATATTTTTTCTTTCTACTTTTAAATGCCTATCATGAATAGATTCTATTTTGTTACCCTTGTCCCAGATCCCAGACCTTAAAAAAAATGTTTTAATGTATGATAATATGAACATTTTAAATTGTGTGAAAATAATTTATATGACCCCTCTAAGATTTTAGGCAAGCTGTAATTTTGTCAAATAACTTAGTAAACTGTACAGAGGAGTGCCAAAAATCTTAAAGGGGACATGAACTGCATTTAAAAAAGTTTTATAATGTTCTTTGAGGTCCACTTATAATGCAAGCAAGATTTTTACATCACAAACCCTCTCTTTAAAACCCTCTCATTTGGCACACTCTTTAAAACACTTTGTTCTGATAGGCGTGCCACATTCAAGACTTGGAAATAAACGCCCACTGCTATGATAGGGTATCAGTTTTGCATGTTAAAATACATTTCAACGTCCCCGCCTTTACTGGTGTGGAAATGTTCTGAAACCTTCCAATGCTGAAAAATGGCATGCATACATGTTTGAGCCAGAGTCTGATCCCAAATCGGAAGACAACGAACCTACACCTCAAATACTAAGGATACTCCAATCTACGACAGTGTGCTAATTAATCATCATTATTTATATTTATTCCTCCTGTATTTGTGAGGTAATTATTACATTATAATAGTGTTTAAACAAAGACGCTACAGAAAGGTGTTTGTCTCAAAACATAGTTAAAACATTTGCCAACTGTGAAACATTTATGCGTATTACATATGCTTTGTACTTGGAGTAACTAAATGTATTGTTTAAATGATAACTTAGTGTTTCATGTAAACGAATTAGGAATAAATGTATCATTGTTTGTCATACTTATATTCATCATTCATAATTTTCAGTAAAGAGTAGATATTAAACCACCTGTAACAGACAAAACAATAGTGACTGACTCATGGTAAAAACACTGTTACTCACACTTGTGTGTTGCAACACTGTCAGATCCAATATAGTTATCACTGCATCATCTTTTATTTTCTGTCTCTGAAAAGCCTGCGTTGAACTGTCACAAAAGCGAACACAAACTGTCTTACTGACGTCATCTGAAAGTTTGCTAAAAATAATCACAAGGTAGGGAATGTAAATACTTGGCACTGAATAATGTATTGTAATCATTAGAGGCATTTTTATTGTTTTGTTGCTCAAGTAGTCCTGTGTTTGCGTTTCTCTCATACTAGATGGTATATATAGAAGTACTCTCATACTCATATAGAAGTATTCGTTGATCTTCCGCAGAGACGGTTTTTCGTCGCACAACTAACCATTTAATAAGCATGGAGGAATGTGAACATGGAGCCAGTGCAGCGCAGCATTTGAGTTTGAAAATGAACCGCCTGTTTGTGTCCCATTTATTTCTCTAGAGACACTATAAACAGTCCAGGAACAAATGTGCCGCCACATGCGCATACTACGAGTAAGATTATGTCAGTATGACATCACAACCCTTGCCTGATGATATCCTTGTCCTTATTTGTATATATTTGTGACGGACAAATCCAGCTGTGTTTTTCCATCTGCTGTCAGCGGAATTCTTAATGTGTTCGTTCAGCCAAAACTGTAATTTTTGTACTCATCCTCATGTTGTTCCAAATCACTATTCTAAAAGTGCTCACAAATCAAAACCTTTCCTTTTGTGTTGACCGAGTAAATAGAATAATTCAGGGCTGAACGTGAAGGATTTGTACTTGCCCTGTCAAAATCCTTTTCGTTGTTTTTGTCCCATGTAACCTGGTATTTTAATATATAATGTTATGACACAAAATTTTTAGATACCTGTGAAATTTCATAATTCTCAATTCCATTTTTTTTTATTCCACAACAAAAACAACTAACCTAGTATTTATATAGTGTTTCAAACATTATGAAAGACAAGTACACTGTGTCAGTAATTAAAGAAAGTACAAACAAACAAATTACAAGCAATAGCACAAATAAATGCAATGGAACAAAACATACAAATGAAATAGTGCTTTTAAGTTTTTTTAGGTGAGTCTAACAGTATTCAATTTTAGTATTTCTTACCTGAATACTATAGTAATCAAATGCAAAATAACACTGTAAAGTCTTCACTTTATAAACTAAATATGGATTAATTCTTATTAAAGCTACAGAAGCTATTCAGTCAATCACAGAAAGCCGTCTATCAACCAGGGCATGAGGTCCCGATTGAGTTCTTTTGCATTTTTTTCCCGCTTGAATCGTTTTAAAGTGCACCTATTATGTTTTTTTTCTCAATATTACCTTTCATGTAGTGTGTAATATAGCTGTTTGTGAATGTAAAAGGTTTGCAATGTTTTAAAGATCAAAGTGCATGACAAATAATGTCATTTTCTCCTTAAAGAAAGAATCAATTCTGTTAAAAACTGCCAAAACGAGTCGTTAGCAATTCCAGTTTCACTTCCTGTTATCTACGTAACAATAGGGGCGTTCACACGGGGTAGTTATTGGAACTCTGTTAACTAGCCACGCCGGTCTCCCGAGAACTAAATGTCCCATTCTCCTGGTCGCATTTACATTGCCAGTAGGCTCTCAGAAGTGACGTAAGCCGGTCGACAGCGATGTCTTTTAAGCACAGTTTTTAACAACTCCGTAGCGTAAAGATTGAGAAATGTCTGGACTTTGACATCGGTCCATCTATCGTTGTTTTCCATTTAAATGGAATTAGTTCATGGAGTTTTTATAAATTGTGGGTGCTGGTGTTTCATATGGCATGTGTTTGGTCAATCAACACACACTTATGTCACTGGTAGTTCCTATTGTGCTGGGTCAGACCCTACTCTGAAATGGGAGCTAATTTATTCCCCCTAAAAGACGTTCCTATAACTAAAATCATTCCCAGTTCCTGCAGTGCTAATATGGCAAAAAACAGGTACTTCTGCCAATAGTTGGAACCATGAAAACTTTAGTGTGAAACCCCCTAATGTAACAAATTTGCATAATGCACATCTATGGTCTTCATTGGCTGACCATGAACAATGTCTACTTTGACCCGCCCACAAACACTGTACTTGCAGCTGAGGCTTGGATTTGAAGTTTGGTTCGTGTTGTTGACATGTTGAGGAGATGCTGTTCAATTAAATTAAATTTACATGCACTTCAAAAGTATGAATTGATACGGCAAACCCAACACCATTGTTACTGTTCATATCACTGTATCAATTGCTGAGGAAGAGCTGAAATTTAGATGTAGGAATGGGCATTTCATTTCAGACAAGCACTGTAAGTGGTAGACCAATCACAACAGACTGGGCTGCCTGACCAATCAGAGCAGAGTAGGCTCTCTGAAAGGAGGGGTTTGAAGTGACTGAATCTTCTTTTTTACTGTCTATGCTTCAAACAAGTGCAATGTTTATTATGAGAAAATTATGGCATAAATATATATTGTTTGAATGAATAAACTGTAAAACTTAAAAATTTGCAATTGAAACGCAGTACTGGCCCGATCGGGACACTGACGATTCCATCTACTGTCCAGACCGTCTTTTACAGTGGCTCCGGGCCATTGGGCAGTCCTTATTGTCGAGCCCTGGAATTTCCATTTCAACTGTTCTCCTTCAAGAACAGGCTCTGTTTGTGCATGTATGTAATGTGTGAGAATGTGATATACGCGGTCAGTGTGAAGTTTCTAGAACCTGCTTTCTCTCCTGAGCAGGGGAATGTTGAGCACTTCCTTTCTTTGTCTGCCCCCATTGTTGGTACTTGCTGGGCTTGTTTCGATCAGACAGACTTCTCCTCCTACCTCACACATTTCTAACCGCACTTGTCTCTTTGTTCATTATGCCTCGGTCTCTCTTCCCCCTCTGTTTGTCATCCTTTTCCCAGTGTCCAACCCCTGTTTTCTGTGTCACTTTCTCGCAGTTTGAAAAGCAGTTTTATTGATCTAAAAGGGTGACGCTGTAAATGTTGTTAATGTCATCTCTCTCTCTCTCTCTCTCTTTCTTTCATATGCACAGTGAGTCAAGTATCTGTCAGGCGCGGGCCACTGTGATGATCTACGATGATGGCAATAAGAAGTGGGTCCCAGCAGGCACGGGCCCCCAGGCTTTCAGCAGGGTCCAAATCTATCACAACCCAGGCAATAACGCCTTCAGAGTGGTGGGACGCAAAATGCAGACCGACCAGCAGGTAAACAAACTACAGTCAGACAAATGTAGCTTTTAGTTGTGGACACACAAACCATTTTTCATTGAAGGTAATTCTGCAGGTAGGTGACACATTCAGGGTAAATGGAAATAAAATCATTCCGAACTTTTCCTCAAGCAAACACTTTAAAATAGTTTTCAAGAACTGACTTCAATATTTTTTTTTCACGGTTAAAGACCAGCAGCACATGCTGCAGTCTAAAACTGTGTTGTTAAAGGGATAGTTCACCCAAAAATGATAAATTTTCTGACCCTCATGTGTTTCCGGACCTGTATTTTTTTCCCCCCTACAGAACACAAAAAATAAATTTACCAGGAGGTCTGTTCTGTGTGCATACTGGGATGTTGAGCATCAAAGATGAGCAAAAAACTGTAAATATGATAAAGGTGCTCCATAAAGGATAGGGATGCACCGAGACCAGTATTTGGGTGTCGGTCCGATACTGTGCTCATGCACTTGTACTCGTAAAACTACCCCGATACAACCGCAGCCGATACCACTTTAAGAGGCCGTTCACATATCGGGTCTAAAAACGCGTGGAAAGCGCGGCCGCACTGCTTTCTCCTTCTTTCCGCAAGCGCTTGCGCTCCCGTGGCATCTGTCGTTGCTATGCAACCATGAACATAGGCTCGCCTGTAACAACGCGCGATATGTGAACGGCCTCTTATGGCAACCAGACATCGTCAGTTGAGCGGGTAGTCGGAGGAGGAGTAATGAGATATTTTAAGATAAGCGATGATGATAAAAGTAGAGCAGACTGCAAACTATGCTCTGCTAAATTGTAAAGAGGAGTGGTCACGGGTGAGAAATAGCTCCTTTAACACAAGCAATTTGATTATACAAGTTGTATATTTACTTTGTTACAGTCAGAAAGTGAAAAACATCTGCTGAAAATAAAAAATTGTTAGAAGAACTATATGGTATTATTAAGTACTCATATCGGTACTTGTGATCGGCAAGTACCCAAATGTAAGTACTTGTACTTGGTCTGAAAAAAAGTGGTATCGGTGCACCCTAATAAAGGAATTCATTTGGAAATACAAGTGACCCCATCAAAACACTTGAGCTGATTTAAAGTTTCCCATTATGCTTTTTTCGAATATTAGCCTACCTTTCATGTGTGTAATAAAACTGTTTGTTAATGTAAAAGGTCTGTAAAGTTTTAAATATTAAAGTGACAATGACATTATCCCTTCTTTTGGATAATTTCAATGTTGTTTGGTCGTCTGGTAAAATACCATCTTCTTGGAAAGGAACAACCGTTATTCCTATACCTAAACCAGGAAAATATCATACTAATCCAAATAACTCTCTACCAATTGCTCTTACCAGTAGCCTTTGTAAAACCATGGACAGGATGGGAAATAATCATCTTGTCTGGATACTGGTATTAAAGAAACAAATAAGTGACTTCCAGTGTTGTTTTTAGACGTGTAAAGAGCACTTTGGATGAACTGATTAGATTAGAATCATACATCCGAGATGGTTTTATTAGAAAAGAACAAAATGTCGCTATTATCTGGAAAAAGCATATAAAACAACTTGGATGTATGGTATTTTGAAATACCTGTATCAAATGGGTTTAAGAGGATGATTGCCCATCTTCATCTCCAACTTTTTGGCTAGTAGATATTGCAGAGTCCAAATAGGAAACACTTTATCAAATTTACCCAAACAAGAACTTGGAGTTCCTCAGGGAAGCATACTCTCGGTCATTCTTTTCAGTATTAAAATAAATGGCAGTATTAATATCGTTGGATCCAATATATTCTGCACCTTATATGCGGATGATCTTTGCATCTGTTACAGAGGGAAGAACTAATTGAAAGACAATTACAGTTATATATATATATTATATATATACCGATCAAACACGTTCTTTCTTTTTTGAAAGAAAACGATACTATTATTAGTATAATAAAAATGATTATAATAAATCGTCGCTGTCCGATGAAAACCGCGTATGTCCATTTTGCCGATTTTGAGATTTTTCGACGGATAGAATGTCCAGGTTCATTTCCGTATACAGCATGCTTCACATTATCTAAATGACCAATGAAAAGTTGTGAAATCATGTCATCTGATTTTCACGTATATCCATTTGGTGTCAAAGCTGTCAATCACGCCGCGGATCTCTCACCCTGTGGATGCATCTCGCCGGTCTCGTGAAGATTCGAAGCGCTACTTGGGCGCAGAGATATCACGCAACACCTGAAATAAAGCTTGCCACAAAGAACCGGCGAAAGTAATGATTATGCATGAAACATTTGAATTGTTGATAAAGTTGACGATGCAGACTCGCCATCTTCGCAGTAGTGAACGCGCCTATAGAGAGAAATGCACAATTCATATGAAGTGCTTCTTATTTATTAATCCAGGCAAATTTGTTGATGAAACATTGATTAAAATGAAGATTCAATTTATACAAAATGAAATAAAATTTAAAGAAAGGCTTTCTACAAAGCAAAACTTATTAGATCAAAATCTGACCCATTCCAAATGTTTTCCGATATAGGCCTATTGGTCATCTTATGATCCTATCTTACTCATCTCATGCGGCTCCGTTTTCATATAATCAACATAGATGAAATAAAAAAAAATAGCATTATATTATTTAAACATAAATATGAAACGTATGTTAAAGTTTTTTAACTTATAAGCGTCACACCGCTCCGCTTTGCTCACATGCTAATAATCAAATAATACCCAGCGATCTTCGAATATTATTTTTGCTTGAAAATTTCGTTTTGTATAAATTGTATCTTCATTTTAATCAATGTTTTCATCAACAAATTTGCAAGCTTTATTTCAGGTGTTGCTTGATAGCCTATCTCTGCGCCCAAGTAGCGGTGCTTCGCCTGTGCTTCCCCCTCATAGTATCAGTCTAGCATTGCCATGTCACTGTCAGTGTATGGATTCATTGTCCCTTCATAGTTTGCAAGAGACATATAATAAACTGAGCGTATTAATAAACTGAGACGTAGGCTATTTAATAAACTGAGCGTAGCCTATTCATCTGTCAATATGAAACGCGACTGGGTCATTCTAATTAATGATCGGAAAAACGCGTATCGACCACCGTTACTGTAAAATATGCACGTATGTCCATTTAAACTCGATTTTGGTCAAATGTGGATTATATCATTACACTGGCAAGAATATGGTTACATTTAAAGTTGTCGTACCAAGTATGACAACACTACGTTCAAGTGCTTTTGAAATTACGTGTTTTTTTCACTTCCTGAAAAGTAACCGTTTTGGACATACGTGAGTTTCATCGGGCAGCGACGAAATAATACTTCTGATAATTCAGCTTTGCCATCACAGGAATATATTACATTTTATATTATTTTTAAATAGATTTTTTTACTGTATTTTTCACCAAATAAATTTAGATTTTGATAATGTTGCCATTTATAATTTTCATTAAAAACTGACTTAAAACTTAAGTGTCCCATTTGAATATAGTGCACAACTCATATGGCCTTTTTGTTTTGTCATTTTTGAAGCTTTACATCCTCAGGATCCATCCACTTCCAACAAATATAAAAAAGCAGCCTGGACATTCTACTAAACGTCTGTCACTTGATGACCAAAATGTCATTTTTGGGTGAAATATTCCTCTAAAATGACAGAAGGAAATAATTTTACAGTCCATCCATCACCTGTATCCCTCTATCTTGAGTTCTCTCTTCCCTCTCCCAGCACTGTCGCCCTCTATACGCACAGACACGAATGCTCTCCAGAGATGACTACTAAAGTAGATGTTGTTTCCTGTAAGATAGCCAAACCATTTCCTGTGCCAGTTAGGCCCTCCTCCCCCATTCCCATGTCTCTACCTCTCCACAGTCCATCTGTCTGATTCCTTAAACTCATTTTTCTTTGTCTGAATGACTCAGTGACTTTTATCTCTTTCCGTCACTGTTCTTAGAAGTGTCTGCTTAAATTCTTAGTTGGTTTATGTGTATTTTGATGAGGGTGCATCTGTGTGGATGGCATGTTGAGCTTTTTAGACATTTTCGTCTTTTCTTCTCTCTTCCCTTTCTCTCCACCGCTCTGCTTTGTGGAATTCATGATTGTAATACAAACAGAGAAACAAAGTGTCAGCACATTCACTGAAGACGAACACACACACACACACACAGGTTTCCATGTTTTATGAGGACTTTCCATAGAATGATTTTAATAATGTACAAAATCTATTTCCAGTCCCCTAACCATAAACCTACCCAGCACAGAAAACTTTCTGCATTTTTACATTTCCAAAAGACATCATTTAGCATGATTCACAAGCTGATTTCTTCATGGGGACCAAAAACTATCTCCACAAGGTCAAAGACTTCTGGTATTACTATTCTTAGTATTCTTATTCTAATTCTTATAACATAGGAAATCCCTGAAACACACACATACACAAACACGCACACAAACACACACACACACTCATGTGCTCTGCAGCGGTAGAGCCCCCTCGTGGACAGTCTGTTAAACAAGCATATATTCTTGCTGGAATATACAAATAAGTTTACAAATCTTGAACTACTTTGAGTAGGAGCAAATTATTTGGTGCATTTTAAATATATGTGAATCTAGATCTTGTTTAAAACGCATGTAGTCTTTGTATTTATGCTGTATTCATTCTTGGATTCATTAAAGTTTAAATAATCGCAAAAAATCATATATTAATATTTACTGAAATAAAAGCACCCAAATGTAGATCATTTAGGAGATTATTTATGGTGGCAGACGAGTGAATTCTTTATTAGAAAAGTGAATTTAGAGATGAATATTATTTCATATGGTTTAATGTATGTTTGTCATGGGCCTACAGTCCATGGCAGTCCATTTTTTCAATTGCATTTATCAATCTTTTTTAAGGGTTATTCACATTTGCGTATGTTCGATAAAAACATTTTTGTTTGTTTTCAAAACGCTCTTTGAGAACCTTTCACTTTGGTTCCTTCAGTTGTTCAGTTCTTGCACACAAGAATGCGTCCTGATTTTTCAGGAATTTTTTTGAGAAATATTTTTCAAATCTCAGCAGTCGGGTCAGAGGTTATTTCTTTCACCGTGAATCGATGCGTATGGCCCTCTGTCAGAAGCTAGTTATTTTACTTTATAAAGTTTTAAATATGGACATTTTTCTTACACAAACCCATCGCTTCGCTTCAGAAGGCCTTTATTTTTTTTTTTTATTTTTTTTTTTAAATATATTTTATTGATTTTACACAAGCAATAAACAAACAAGCCCAGCTATTACCAACATACAAAACAGGAAAAAAATAAATAAATAAAAATTCACACATAAATTGCACATCACATGTTACATCACATAATCTACATTATTGTTTACAACAAAACACATACATAAAAAAAAAAAAAAAAAAAAAAAACAAGGAAATTTCTAAAGAATTTATGACTTATTGGTGAAAACAAAATGTGGTCTCCCATCCTGCAGCAAACCAGCAAGATCACCAGGAAGGTAGTCAAGAAAAGGTTGCCAAACATTATGAAACAAATTGGCATTTCCCCTTAATATGGCACTGAGGCGTTCCAAAGGAAAAACCTTAAATATTTCTCTGTACCACTGTGTGACCGAGGGAGGTTTTTCCTCAATCCACTGGAATAAAACACAATGCCTTGCTAGAAGTAAGAGTTTACCCATTAACAACAGTTGCCCTGCAGATAGAGAGAGCTGCTCTAAATGTAGATTCAGAAGGAACAAGACTGGTTCTGATTTAACTGTTTTGTGAAAAATTGAACTTAGCTCCTGAGAAATATTCCTCCAATACCTGAGTATTAAGGGACATTGCCAAATACAATGATAGTAGGTCCCTATTTCCTTCTTACACTTAGAAGGCCTTTATTAATCCCTGGAGCCGTGTGGAGTTCTTTTATAATGGATGGATGCACTTATTTTGAGCTTCAAAATCAGGACCGCTATTCACTACCATTATAAAGCTGGGAAGAGCCAGGACTTTTTTAACATAACTCCAAATGTATTTTGTCTGAAAGAAGAAAGTCATTTACACCTAGGATGGCTTGAGGGTGTGTAAATCATGGGGCAATTTTCAATTTTGGGTGAAATATCCCTTTAACTCTCAGTACAAGTGCATCACCTTGCCAACAAAAAAAGAGCCCTACAAAAGTAAACAAAAAAATATCATTCAGAAATGTAAAATATGTTCATCGTAAAAGAAGTGTATTTAAGTAATAGTCTATATGAATTGCATTTAAAAAATAATTTAATTTAAAATTTTTGTCACATTGATTATGCACGAATAATTAACTTCACCAATAAACTACAGCATAAAAGAGACATTTGTTTATACTTGTGTGCATATACGGCTTAATTTACATTTAGACATTTGTGTCTTTTCTTGTACAGGTTGTGATGAATTGTCCAATTGTAAAGGGATTAAAATATAATCAGGCCACGCCAAACTTCCACCAATGGCGGGACGCTCGGCAGGTGTGGGGACTGAATTTTGGCAGCAAGGAAGATGCAGCGCTGTTCGCCAATGGCATGATGCACGCGCTCGAGATCCTCAACTCCATCCCTGATGGAGGTAATGTATACTCACATTTACACCCCATTGTGACAGGGCGTATCTGTTCAACACAACTGACAACTGCATTGTCATTAGGTTTCCCCACACGGCCCGTGTCCAACGGACCATCACCAGAAGAGCTGGAACAACAGAAAAGGTACAAACTTATTTGTTGCTGTGTGTGTAACAAAGAATTTGACAGGTTTTATTTTACCACTTTTTTCATTAAGTGATTTTTGTTTGCCGTTTCCTTGGTCAATCTTTTACCTTAATTAAACACACACACACACTCAAAGGATTTACTGGTATTAACGTTCAAGTCTTTAGCTGTCCGTGAGCCCCTGAAGTGATGGGGCAAAAGTCCGGGTCAGGCCTTCTGACACTTAAATCCTCTTCTTCTTTCTGGATACTACAGGGTAAAAAAAATGAAACATTTGTGTCTTTTTAAACTTAAAATCTGGTTGGGGACACTTAATATTCTGCAATATTATTTACTTAATGCACTGACGCTATTGGATGAGAACTGAACTGAGCTGGACAATGACATCACTGTTTTCACCAGAGCTGTTTTCTAGATGAACTGAACTGAATTATTCCATTATTGGTGAACTTCACACAGTTATTAAAGGGGTCATGAATTGGATTATTTTATTATTTTATAATGTTTCCTGGGGTGCCCTTATGTTATTATGGTTTTTACATAATAAATTGTCATAATTTAGAAATAAAAGGCATTTTTCCAAGCCTGATTTTAGCCTCTGATTTGAACGAGGCGTGTCTGCTGTGAGACTTCAGTGTAAACGCCCACTGCTGTGATTGGCTGACATGTTTGCATATGAAATAGCTAGCATTATACGTGGAAATCTCTCGAATACTTTTACTACGTTTTTACTATTACAGCTATCGAGATTAATGAATCGTGAGAAGTTAAGTATTTAGATCTATTCCATCACATGAAAGGTTGCAGTGATGAGCATTGAGCAGATGACAGACAGTCTGTCGATCTTATCATTGCAATTTCTGCACTCTCACGAATGCTTTCACCAAATAACAATGCAAACACGATGTAAATACAGTAAGAGCTTCGTTGTGCAGTGTAACCGCGTCATTGATTTCATAACGAGTTTTGGCAAGTGTCCAGTTAAGCTCGCGTTGTGTGATTGACAGCCTTGGCGATTGGAAGGGGATCGTTCTTTGATTGCTTTCTGCCTACTAAGAGAAACGATGTGAAGTTGATCATTTACTGATGCATAAACGGTATTGAACGATTTTGAGAGAAAGCTTATATGTCTGAACTTGATTACACATCAGAAATCACTAATCACAGATCAGGCATTGGAATAAACATGGTAACTTGCATGTTTGTGGCGTTGCTGGCAGATCCATATCATAAAAGTCTGTTTGCAAAGCCTGCATCGAAACTACGACTGAATTACCAAATAATCCACAGTGAAATGCACCGAATACAAACAAACAATGCACTGCTGAAACATTTGGAAGGTAATGGTATTATTGATCCTGTGTCGATCTTTTCTCGTTCTCATGTCACTATTCACTAACGCTCCAGTGGGCGGAGCCAAAGACGCGGTGATGTAGACGGAGGCGTTGATATTCTTCTGCAAAGGCGGTCTTTAGCTGCCCTGTGACGTCACAAGTCTCCACTTCTGAGATCCTGTCTTTTTCTGGCCTTGGTTTCAATAAAAGCAGTTTTTGGAATAACAAGGAAGTTTTGAATTTGGAAACTTACAGGGTATTTTTAGTGTAACAAACTCTTAACTGTTCTCAGTTCATGACCCCTTTAAAGGCACACTATGCAAGAATTGTAACTTAATATAACAGCTTCAAAGTCATTTCGGTGGTAAACAAAGTCATAGTAGGGCGAATCATCCTGGTAGTAAAGCTTGGGGGGGGGCGCCGCTGGAAAAACCAGCAATGCAAGTTTGAGAGGAGCGCCCCCGACAAATCTCGCGAGAATCACAACATGCTTTACGGCAACGACGTCACACACATCAACAACAACATATGAAGCACGAAGACACTTGCGCGCATTTCAGACGTGATACTCGACGATGGAAAAAGCAAAGAAAACGCGGTCGGAAGAGACTAGGAAATGGAAAAGAGAATGAGCCTCTCCGCTCAACCCGTAAATAAATGCATCAATCCGCAAGTTTTGTTTGAGTTCTTTAATGGTCTAGTGGTAAATCTTTTGCCAAGCGAGTCAGAGGTTACAGGTTCTACGTTTTTTCTCTCTCATCAAAACTGAATATGTTCATCAGTGGTTACAGTCTATATCAAGCAGGGACACGTTTTTGTGCATTTTATTTTGTGATTTCACCGGAATGAATAGAGAGTCTCCGCAACGGCGATAGATTGAAGAGCGTGTCCGAGTGAAGACTGCACCCCACAGAGAACACTGTATCCATGACACTGATAGCAGCGGACACGAGCGCTCAGCTTGAGTTCAGAAACACATTTTAGCGCTAGATCTCTTATTTAATGCAAAAAATGCACACTATGCAAGATTTGTACCTTAATATAACAGCTTCAAAGGGGTATCAGGCCGTGAGTGCAGAGACCATTCTATGGCAGAGACGCTCTGCGTGAGTGGTATTTACGACAGTAACGTTAAATACAAGTAGGGTTGGGCGATGTCTACCAATTTGGCATCAGACGATGTCTACAGTGAAACATTGCGATGGACGATGACATCGGGAGGGTAGGGGGGAGGGGGGTATTTTCGTAATATTCTCATTTTCCACTAGATATTTTCCTCTATATCTCATCAGCAATTTCGATGTCGGCAGCTCTGCAGCAGCTGAGCACTAAGAGCGAATGTACAGTGACGTGACATCACTGCCAGATTCAAACTCGCGCTATGGCTGGCGCTGAGCCAAAGACGGACGCGCTCAGCGCTTGTCATAGGCTATATCACAACTGTTCAGTGTTTTTAACCCCATAATGTTTATTTTAGGTTTCAGACATTTAAATACATGTAATCTATAGCAAAACAATACATTTATAGTTTGTAAAATACACATGGTGTCTATGGAAGCAGCAATAACAACCCATTCAAATATATTTGACGACGGTTTTTATTCATATCAGAGACACAGTGTAGCAGTAAATAACTAATGTCAACTACATTTTTCTCCCAGTTCACCGGCCACTTTCATGTTTTTCAGGAGAAACTGGTGAATTCACGCGCTGTAATAAATCCAACAGACAGGAATCTCTGAACTGCGGTCCAAACACGGCGCCCATCTCACGTTACAGATCAAGATAATTTATAAAGTTTTTTTAAACGACAAAAACTCACTTACACATATTTGAGAATCGGAATAGAAGATAGTTCATGACATGGTAAGCAAGTTTGTTAATATTTAGAAATAAAAGCGCTAAATCTGTCATACAGCGCTATTTTGGCTGTATCACGTGCCAAGCATGACGCGTCACCATGGAAACGGGACACACGATGTTTAGCCGATGCCGTCTAAACATCGTGATGTCTGTCAGCCATCACGATGGACGATGATATCGTCCATCGGCACAACCCTAAATACAAGTACTCCACAGCGACTCTAGGGGTTGCTGTTTGACAAAAACGGAATTCCTGCATAGTGTGCCTTTAAACCAAACTGAATCAACTGAACTGATTTCAGCTGAGTACTGTTTACTATTGTCTTTTTAGAGCTGCTTTACATTGAATAATTATTTTACTGTTTATCACTGTAAAGCTGCTTTGAAACAATCTGTATTGTATAAAGCGCTATATAAATAAAGGTGACTTGACATAGAATAGGATTGGGAAATTATGTGAGTCAGACTCGAACTTGCATTGCCCACACATGAGAAGCAAAGCTCAACTAATTACGTCTGTAACTACTGCACAGCTATTTTAGGTTACTGTGCCATTATTTGATTGGTTAAAAGTTTTCTGCTGACGAAATTGCTACCTAAAGGTGTGGCCAGATTTACTGTTGTTTTGTGAATTGCCGCTGGCGAAATACTGTGAATTCAATTGAAATCCACGCGATTAAGAATTTTGCATGAGGGCAAAGGATTTCCCCATGCAGATTTTGCAATGGGGTCAAGATGGTCAGGCAAGTTTGCTGCGTTGACCAGCAGAAAGCTGCTTAATTTGAAAGTGACTTGTGTGTGAGTGCTACACTATTGATAATAGACAATCGACCGCAAAATTTCACACAAAGTTGGTTTAAAGTACCTACAATTGCTGCGCTGGCAATTACTGGCAAGCAATTGAATTGCAGAATTATTAATACAATTTCAGTCTTCTGAATATGAATAGATTTAGTCAGTTTATTAGATCAGTTTATTACCATTAGTTGTTTTTTTTATAGAACAAATGCGGCATACAGCAGCTTTGAACAATGTGTTAATTTTGCCTGTAAAAAAAGTTGTAAATTGACACTATTGGATATGTAACAAATATTTGTGGTAGAAAAGTTTGTGGCAGTCCACATTGACATCACCCTATGTTATAGGGGAATTGTACAGTGAATGATTTTTAAAGCGATTTTATAGTGGTAATAATAGTGTTTTAAATGAACAAGAACATTTAAGAGACAATATCCCTGCCAGCAGAGGAAAACTCTGTAATTCCAGAACATCTCTCTCTCTCTCTCTCTCTCTCTCTCTCTCTCTCTCTCTCTCTCTCTCTCTCTCTCTCTCTCTCTCTCTCTCTCTCTCTCTCTCTCTCTCTCTCTCTCTCTCTCTCTCTCTCTCTCTCTCTCTCTCTCTCTCTCTCTCTCTCTTTCTCATATCTATCTCTCTTTGTCTGTCTGTTGTTATGGTTACCTTGATAAAGACTTTACATGGAGCCTGTTGACTCATGTCTTGACTTGACTGAAATGTTTTGAATGGCTCTCGGAGAGGCTTGACTTAACATGAAACTTGGCATTGCAGTCTTGTAAGTGCCTCAAAGAGTATCTATGTTTATGCGTGTATATATATATATATATTGTTTTATATATACAGGCTCATTTAAGAGGTCTCAGAATGATTCAAAATATGTAAACCCACCAAATAATTGCATCCCACCGATGGCAACAGTGTCAAATGAAGATCTATTTTCACCCTATGCCTTTTCTAAATGCATGTTATAGGTTTCATTGTGAATAGTTATTTGTGTATATGTTTTATTTAAAACAAAATCTTACATTTTAATCAAAATGTCATAACTGGATCTTCTGAATGAAAATTGACAGAACTCTCTGGTGACGTATGTATGTCATTTAGTCCGCTTAAACCCTGACCCTGAAAGCTCTTGGTCATCCCAACATCCAATCAACAACCAATGCATAGAAACAAGTCCCCGCCCAATATTTTTTCTTTTTTGATAATCCGTTACACTTGGATGTACGTAATGTGAACGATTCATCGATATTTCTGTTTCGATTCGACTTTCATTTTGAATGTATTATATTCATATTATTTCATAATGTTTTATTTTATTTTGAATTTAATTTAATTTGACATTTTTCATGATTTAATTATTCGCTCATTGACTCACAAATGTAATTTAAAATCGCAGTATTTGCCAAAGTAATTGCAATGCCTTCTTCGTGTTTGTTTTTCCCCTGCAGATTGGAGCAGCAGAGGTTGGAACAGCTAGAGAGGGAGAGACAGGAAAGAGAAAGACAAGAGAGAGAACGACAGGAAAGAGAAAGACAAGAAAGAGAACGACAAGAAAGAGAACGGCAAGCAGCTCCAGGTCAGTAGAAAGTGTTTCACCTCAATGGAGAAACTCTGTGTATAGATTACTGCTGTCTTCTGAGTAGAGTAAACTCTATACTTTATGATAGAAAATATTTTTTTCCTGTTGAATGCACAGTGGTATGTCATGTCATTGTTGTCATTGCTTTAACAATCAGGTTACAGTAGAAAACAGTAGAATTCCCAATTTATTATTATTGTTTTTTAAAATGTAATATTATTTCAAATGAAAAAAAATATATATTATTAATTTTATAATTTTAAATTATAAAACATATATATATATATATATATATATATATATTATACATGTAATAAATGTACATTATAGATTTTATATATATATATATAGGCTACATAATACAACAAAATATTTTTCAAACCAATAGGGGTGTTGAAATTAATTGTTTCTGCGATGCAGAAATAGACGATTCAATATCGATGCAGTGATAGATCATAATTGATTATAGCCTACTGACGCTTCTCTGACGTGATTCGTCACGCTAGTGTAAAATGGCGGAGGGAGGCGAAACACAAAAGAGAGTAATAAAAAATGCACACACTATTTTAACATTTACAGCGTGTGTGCGCCAGAGTAGGCTGTGTGTGTGTGTGTGTGAGTGAGTGAGAGAGGGTGTTATTGTAACTTAAAGGGGTCATATAATGGTACATGCACTTTTTCAAGTTGATTGTACTGAAATGTGTGTTGGCAGTGCCTGTACACAACCATCATATAATGATAAAAATGTATCCAGTGTTTTTGTTCTAATCTCCTTATATGTTTTCCCCTGCCTCAAATCGAGCCGTTCGTTTTTGTGACGTCAATAAAACAGACGCCCCTCCCACGATTGTTGATTGACAGCAGCGTTTAAACACAGACCCGCCCTGAGCGAACTGTCATCATAGTCCATCATTGTTGATACACTGGAGCAGTATGGCGTCTAAGCTATTGTGGTGTTCTGTTCTTGGGTGTAATAACGAACACAGCAGTCATTTTGATGTTCCTAAATCCGAACCGCTGAAGACGTAGTGGCTGAGTTTTGTTTTCGAAGGGAATATTCCCCACGAGTAACATCACTGCTTACATGTTTGCGCGATTCGCGAATCATTTCTCACCACCAGACTGCTTTATAAATGAGGGTCAGACTCAGTATAAAGCTGGTTTTGCTAAGAAGCTGCTCCTGAAAAAAACAATTGTAAAATTGTATATTTTATATAAATCTTTGCAAATCGCTTGCACAGTTCACGATGAATGCGGCTAAGGTTTACCTTCAGGGTACATTACGGCATGTTTTCTATGTATGACGTTCTCATTATAATTCATAATCCCACGTTTATAATGAACAACGTGTTATGGTTATTGTGTTATTACAAACTGAGTACGTACGTTATACATCAGTAAACACATAGCGTTCGTACATCTCACTAAGTTACTCTACCCTGCCAGTACACAAAGATAGATCAAAGTGACATTGTTAACCAACCATTCAGAAATGTCCTGTTCGAGCCTTAATTGTCGAACTTCTTTGCGGCCGTCATCTTGTTCCGGGTCCGTCTCCGGTTCAAACTGATACGATTGCACAGATGTGTCCTCAGAGACTCCCGCTGCCATTCTCTCTCCAAAATATACCCTCAACTGTTGTCAAGGCAACACTCCACATGTGTTGTGTCAAAACGCCCGCAGAACAGAGGGGCGGAGTGAGCGAAGCTCATTATCATTTAAAGACACATGCACTTAAATGGCGTGCTGAAAACAGAGCTGTTTTTGACCAAGTAAAATGAGTGTTTTCTTACAATACTAATGAGAATTTTTAATTAAAGTATATTACAAACTTTTCATTTAGACCCTAAAGAATGAAATTAACTTGTATGAAAATGGCATTATATGACCCCTTTAAGTAGTACACTACATAAGTACACAGTTTCATGCGTTTTTAGTGTTTACTAGTATTTATTAGTTCTAAATGCTCCTGTCGTCTGCTGTGTTTAGACTTTCATGGAGCAGATCAAATAAAAAGGGAGTTCATATATCTGACTGCTTGTATTCATTGACGTAAATGTAGCCATGTGCAGTTGTATATTGCAAAAGTTGACATGGTAATCGTAATCAAATTTAATCATGAGACCAGTGACGATTCACACCCCTACAAACCAACCCTGTCTACCCCTATTTCTGAGCTTATACATATTTAATTAATACGTAATTGTGTGTGTGTGTGTAAATCATGTGCTGTTGTTCTACTGTAGTCATTCCTCCTCCACCACCACTGGCCCCTGGAGGCCCTCCGGCTCCCCCTGGACCCCCACCTCCCCCTGGGCCCCCTCCGTCTGGACCTCCCCCACCACCTGGGCCTCCCCCCATGGGAGGAGGAGGAGGAGCTCCACCTCCACCTGCTCCTCCTCTGCCCTCTTCTGGAGGAGGTGGAGGTGGGGAAGGAGGAGCAGGTGGCGGGGGTCTCGCTGCTGCTCTGGCAGCTGCCAAACTGCGCAAAGTGGCCAAGGTGAGACAATGAGTGACATGAGAATCACAATAAGAGAGTTTCCAGAGGCTGAAATAATGTGTCACTTTCTTGTAACATTATTTATGGCCTTGGTGGAGTCACCCGAAAATGAAATTCCTTTCAGAGGACGAGCGGGTTATCACATTTTAAAGATACACTTTTATTTTTTTTCGTGGAATAACGTGCCCTTGTGAATCATGCATGCGCAATTGAAAGAACAGGAATGTTTATTAAGTAGAAGTAGAAAATGGAGAAACAGAGAATAAATTACTGGCAAATCTAAAACTTGTGTACCAAAGGTTTACAAAAATGATATAGACAGTAGAAATAGGGTAGAAGGTGACAACCAGCTCTGAATCAACATGCACCAATGCTACATGTCATAATCATTTGTTAACAAACAAGTATTCATTACTTCAATGAGCTCATTGTTTCTTCCTTAAATTATTACATCGTTTAAGTTAATACATTTTTAGCTAACTGTGATTTTGTATATGTACATTTCTGAAATACATAAATTAGACAGTTACCTCTGAAAACAGCTTTTTTTCTGTCTGAGCTTTCTGTAAAGCTGCTTTGAAACGATGTGTATTGTGAAAAGCGCTATACAAATAAATGTCAATTGAATTGAACCAATCGCATACAAAGCCAGATGTGAAATAAGAGCATAAAGGCTCGTTCACACCAATAATTTTTAATAATTGTTCTAATTGAATGAGAATAGGGAAGTTCACACCACAACTATAACCATAATGACAATGTTGGATTCACTTTCAGAACGTTTTTTTCTTCCAGCTGATGAACGAAAAAAACATTGACACCCAATCAGAATCCACTCTGATGAGCTAAAGCATTTAAAGTGGCAGATGACGTAACCGCAGCGCACTCTCATAATAAATAGAACTTTATGGGTGCATCAGTGTGGATGCTTATATAATTATCTTTATAGTTATCATTCTTGGTGTGAACAGGCCTTAATGTTCCCCCTGGTGGAACTTTATGAAGACAGTGAAATGATGACTAATGAAATGACATCCATTCACAAAGATGAAATTACAAACAAATGTACATGTTATTCAGTTTGTTCAGTAGTTTAAATGTCGAGACTGAACTCCTATAACATTTTGCGGTTACACTTTATTTTAAGGTGTCATTGTCAGTGTAATTCTATATTTAAGTACCGACTAATATTAATTAACTACATGTACTTACTATAGGGTTAGGGTAGGATTAGGGTTTGGTTGAGGGTTAGTTGCATGTAATTATGTCTAATTTACTGTTATTACTATGGTAAGTACATGTAACATATGTAACAAGGACACTGTAAAATAAAGTGTTACCCATTTTGCACACATATTCATGGCTGTCTGCTGTTACTGACTCAGTGCTTCCCCCTGCAGGATGAGGCTGCTGCTGCTGCTGGAGGAGGCAGTGCTGCGGTCAGTGTGGCGGCAGCTCCTAAAGCAGACGGCAGCCGCAGCAGTGTATCTCTGCCCAGCGGAGGAGGAGGAGGAGGAGGAGGCTTGATGGGAGAGATGAGCGCAATTCTAGCACGACGGTCAGTAAAAAAAAGTATTAGAAAAAATCATACGGTAAATGTAAAGATCACGAACGTATCCCCTCATTAACATTGGAACATGTCTCCGTTTTAAGGAATTTTTCAAATTTTTTTACACCCTAATGATGATGTGATGCATGAGTAGCAGACTCTGTTACCACGATAATTTCAGTTTGTCCCTCAGGTTAGGGTTGTGCGATTTAGTTGAATTTAAGTTTCGATTTTAATTTGGGCCTCCAAGGATTATGATGACATGATAATTGAGAGAAACCGATTATTCTGCCACATTCCGTTCTTTTCCTTTAAAGCAGTGCACTTCATCATGCAATGTGACTGGCGTGAACCTTAAAATACAACAAAATATACTTGATGAATATCGCTAAAGTGAAAAAAATTATGTAAGATATGCAAGCTCATATAAGACTTTGGTCATATCGCCCATTTCTAATCGTGTTAAATAATCATGATTACAATACAAAGTTGACCAATATAATCGTGAGTATAATATAACAATATAATCAGCTCTATCTCAGATTGTAAAAAAGTGCAGGAACTGAGCTGTCACATTAAAATATTCTCTGAAATGGAAAGATATCAAACTCTGCTGCTCTACCATGAGATGAAACAGCGGCCAACTTGGATCACATGTGCCTTTTGATAACCAAACACAATATTGCTTCAACGTCATTGAGTTGCTGTCAGAGTTGTACGATAGTACAACGCTGTTCGTGGATATATATCGCAAAACAGAATCCTACCTGTCGCAAAACGATCAATCCAAACTGAATATTTAATGGTAAATATGTTGAAGAATAGCTGATTGGCTGTTGAGTCAAAAGCAGTTTATTCAGTGTACACCCATTTCTCGGCAGTGTTCTTACGCTTACTTCTGTTTTTTTTTTTGCTAACCTTCAAGGCTCCCCTGACTCTAATTCCGATTCCATTTATTTAGCAGTTCTGTTAAAAATGCTTCTGTTTTTGTTTTGTTTTTGAAAATTGCATTTGTATTTACCTCCATCAGCAATCTGTTGGCAACTGATTCATTCATTTCACATTTGAGCAATAGATAACTAATTAGAAATAAATACAATATAGCTCTTTCAAAAGGTATCTGTTAATAAATAAAAGGTAATAAATACATACTAAAAATTTTAAACATACAAAAATGTAGTAAGAGTATTACTTTCATTCAACCAGCTCATAAGAGTCATTTGAACTGGGCTGCACTCTTCACGCTTTGTTTTTGACTTACTAAAAAGAGCCAGACTGATTTATTCGGCACTGGTACACTACATAGATTCAGTAGAAGTGTGATTCTGCATGTTCGAGAACCCAAAGACATTTGGTTCTGGTATTTTCTATTTATTTAAAGGTGGAACCAGTTCTAAATAAGAACAGATACTCAGTTTCTGAAGTAATTTCAAATGCATAAAGTGACAACATACTGTAATACTAGACAGATAGATTACATTATTGTATTTTTGTCTTGTTAGTTGGTTTTGGATATTTTTGTCTTTCCCTGATCAACCGGAAAGATGTTATTGCGTGATTTAGAAAATAACAGCCTGGGGTGTTACCAAGATGGCTGTTGATCGAAGTACTTTCGTAATGACCTTGAAATGTAAAGGGTGCTGGAGGCTTTAATAGCAGCAATGTGAAGCACTTACATGAATTGCTCATTAAATGAATTGCTCATTACACAAATATTTCATATTTGAGCTGTGAAGAGGCATGACTAGGTGGATGAACTTCTTGTTCTGCATTACTGACATAATTCCTGTAATTTGAGGTGCAGAACTCAGCTTTATAGAGTGCATTAGTGCGTCCACTGTTTCAGCAGCGCTGGTTCGGGAAGTATTTTTTTCCATTCATTTTTCCCCTTAGGGATTTTAAAGTCTTTGTTAAAGCATTATGATAAGCCATGAACTAAGCCAACTAACTACGATGTGAATAATAACATCACAAACTTTGATTTGAAGCAAAAAGTATTTGAAATTCAGACAAAAAAAAAAAAAGGTACAAGACTGTATACTTAACGGCTGAGGGAAATAACTACAATCCCATCAAGCATTGCGAATGACAAATGATGGAGACAAAAAACAATGGAGAAATAGAAAACAATTAATTTAAAGTTGTTGATTATATCTATAAAAACTATATGTTTCGTGCAAAATATGCAAGGCCTATATACACAAATATTTTGAGACATGAGTGATATTTGAATAAATAAATATTTAATTTATTAGGGTAAATTGACAAATGCCCTCTTAAAGGGTTAGTTCACCCAAAAATGAAAACTTTAAATTTACTCCCCTTTGTTGTTACAAATCCTAAACTTAATCCATATGTTCAATCTAAATCTTCTGAAAAGACACAATCGCTTTATATGACAGATTTAAAGGGATAGTTCACCCAAAAATGAAAATTACCCCATGATTTACTCACCCTCAAGCCATCCTAGATGTATATGACATTATTCTTTCAGACAAAATACAATCAGAGTTATATTAAAAAAATGTCCTGGCTCTTTCAAGCTTTATAATGGCAGTGAATGGCTGTACATTTTTTGAAGTCCATCAAAGTGCATCCATAATAAAAGTGCTCCACACGGCTCTGGGGGGTTAATAAAGGCCCTCTGAAGTGAAGTGAAGCGATGCGTTCGCTTCATAGCTTAAACGGCCATTCACTGGCATTTATAAAGCTTGGAAGAGCCAGAAGATTTTTTAATATAACTCCGATTGTATTTGCTGTTAGAAGAACGTCATATAGGCTTCACCTAGGATGGCTTGAGGGTGAGTAAATCATGGGGTAGTTTTAATTTTTGGGTGAACTATCCCTTTAATTTAGGCTTTTACTCACATACATTGATCCACAGAAATCTCTCAGGTTTCATTCAAGGTTTCATTTCTTCATTTGTCTTTCAATGATGAATGAAAGCCTTGGTTTGGAATGGCACGAGCATGAGTAATGGGTCAACTATTAATTCAAGTAATTCATCCTTGTGCCAAATGTATTACTGTTAAGGCTTCTTTCATTTTATTTTACAGACTTGCTACTAATGCTATCTATAGATATTAAGTTGTGTTAAAATCTATTGAAAATGAGTGATTTTTATTTTTTAAAAACTGTTGTCATTGTGTCTGCCGACACAGGAGAAAAGCAACCGATAAAGGGGAGAAGCCTCCTCCCAAAGCGGAAGAGCCCAGTAATGTAAGAACACCTTCTATCTTTTAAGACTCATTATGGGTAAATGTGTCAATTCCCAAACGAAGCATTTGCATGATTTTTCCCACAGTTAAGCACAAACACACTGATTCCAAATATCGCATTAGTTATGTCAGTCACGGTCGTGATTGCCCACACAATGCTACCCTAAACCATAACCTTAGTATAGCATTGGTAGCATATTCTGATAGACACCATTACTGGTTGTCGGGATCAGATCCAGCTAAGATTTTTCTGAAAGTCTGAAGTTTTTTTAACAGGAGACTGTGTGTTGACTGTGACCAATGAGGCGGGGTTTGTGCTTAAGTGGTTTTGAGGGGAAAATCCTGCAAAAAAAAAAAGAATGATTTCCTGTAAATCATCTATTTAAAGTGCATGCAAAAGTCTTAAAAGATTTCTAGAGCTTTTCCATAGACTTGAGATGGAATATAGCAGCTATTACTGTAAATGTAAGTAAGTAAAATTGAGTTAGACTTAAAAACACCATCACTGAATGCTGTAGAAACACTCTTTAATTCTACTCTCTGTCTGTTTCTATTCCTTTACCTGTTGATCTTCAGGATGATTCCGACCTTCAAGGCCCAGGCGGTAAGAATACTATGCATTTGCGATTGACATTTGTGACATTTAGATACTCGGAGTCTTTTCTCATCTGTGATTTTTCATTAACAGACTTTAGGAGACCATGGGAAAAATCCGCCACCATGCCCAGGTAAGCACCGATTTACAGACACATATTGAACTGTATTGAATATTGAATTGAAAACTTTTGTCCAAATCATGTAACAGAACTGAATCTCCGTTAGTCTGGTGTTTGAAGAACTTCAGCTGTTGAGTGAGTATGGACAGTGTGACTGTCCATAGGGCCCTGTAGTTTAAAGTGAAGTGTATATATACAGTACATGTCTCAAACAGGACTAACTCGGCACCCAGAAGTCTGGAATCACCCTCTTCCTCTAGCCCACTTACCAGGTACTTTTACTACAGTAAGCTCTCGTGTGGTTATGGTCTTACACTGTCAGCGCCCCTGGTTCCCCTGCTTTCACACACACATTCACCTAAACACGCAATGCATGCATTTCTACGGAAGCGTATTGCATTCACTTAAGGAAAAAAAATCTACTCTGTTTTTCTGAATTAACGAGTTAATTATCTCAGAATTACGAGATATTTTTTCATGAAAAAATTTTTTTTGCTCTGTTTTTCTGAATTAACGAGTTAATATCTCAGAATTATGAGACATTTTTCTTGACATTTTTTTTTCAGTCTGTTTTTATGAATTAATGAGTTACTCATAATTTTGAGATAATTAAGTCATTAATTCAGAAAAACAGAGCAAAAACTTTTTTCCATGAAAAATTATCTCGTAATTCTGAGATAATTAACTTGTTAATTCAGAAAACAGAGCAAAAACTTTTTTCCATGAAAAATTATCTCATTATTCTGAGATAATTAACTTGTTAATTCAGAAAAACAGAGCAAAACTTTTTTTTTTATGAAAAATTATCTCGTAATTCTGAGATAATTAACTTGTTAATTCAGAAAAACAGAGCAAAAACTTTTTTTCATGAAAAATTATCTCGTAATTCTGAGATAATTAATTTGTTAATTCAGAAAAACAGAGAAAAAACTTTTTTTCCATGAAAAATTATCTCGTAATTCTGAGATAATTAACTTGTTAATTCAGAAAAACAGAGCAAAAACTTTTTTCCATGAAAAATTATCTCGTAATTCTGAGATAATTAACTTGTTAATTCAGAAAAACAGAGCAAAAACTTTTTTTCATGAAAAATTATCTCGTAATTCTGAGATAATTAACTTGTTAATTCAGAAAAACAGAGTTAATTTTTTTCCTCAAGTGAATGCAATACGCTTCCGTACATTTCTATTTCAAAATATTTCAAAATGCAATTTATTCCTTACTACACCAAGGCTGATATTTTAGCAACCATTATGCTGATTTGATGCTGAAGAAATATTTCTTCTGAGCCCCTAAAGGGACATGGTGATGGAAAAAAAATGAGATGGGAGGAAATCAAATATTTCAATGCATTTGCGTTCTCTCGCAACGGTTTCACGTTCCCCCGAGAAACTTTGCGTTTGGTAATGGCAAATGAAAAGTTTCTCAAGAGAATGCAAACGCATTATAAGACATCGTTTTTCCTCCCATCTCATTTTTTCCCCATCACTATGTCCCATTAAGGGCTCCATACATTTCTTATTATCAGTGTTAAAAACAGTTGTACTGCTTCAAATATTTGTAGAAACTATCATATATTTTTTTCCAGGATTCTTTGAATAGTAAGTTAAAAAATCTGCATTTATTTGAAATATAAATTTTTCGTAACAATGTAAAAGTCATTACTGCCAGTTTTAATCATTTTGATTAGTGCGGTCAAACGATAAAACAAATTTAACTGATTAATCACACATTTTTCTGTAATTTAATCGTGATTAATTGCACCTAACAATTAAAGTTTTTAAAATATTTGTAATGTTTAATCTCCAAATTAATGTAGAAACAACATAAAGACAGTATATTTTAAATATTTGTTTAATTGCATCTGAATGAAGGCCAGAATAATCGATACCAACTGCTCCTGATGTCTCTATTAATCAGTTGTAGCCATTCAACATTACAGTATAATTGAAAGATTTCATTTTTAAAATAAAAAAAATAATAACTTTTAGTTTAATTGAACTTGAAACAATCTTCACATAAACCCATTATAATAAATGACACATTTGACTGTGCCTTTAATATATCGAGCCTCAACGCTAAGGATTTGTTTTCTCTTGGCCCAGTCAGGCCGGTTTAGATTTTTACTTGCCCTGTCAAAATACACAAAAAAAGTTATTGTTTTCGTTGTTTTTGACCCATTTAACCTTCACGTTAACAGTGCTTTAAGGTTTTTTAGGTACGTCTAATAGGTAGGAAATATACAGAAATTGAAAAAAGTTATCAAACAATTCATTGTCTTCACTGCATAGCCTATTATGAATTAAATATAGAATACTCCTTATTAAAGCTACAAAGGTTATTCAGTCAAGAGCAGTGGATGATTTTCTTTTTTTCTTTTATTCTTTTTTAACATTAATGACACAGACAGCAGCAGGTTTATTAGGCCGCTGTCACTTTAAGACCTGCCGCTGCTGAACATGACGCGGGTCTGACAAGCATCCCATTTTCTCACAACTCTTTACGTTCATTTAAGACTTCATTTAACTTATTTAACTCATGCTTGTGAGGATACTCGACAAAACCGTTTGCATAATTGAGCTTTTTTTGTCCGTTCAAGTGCTGTCTGAAGCGGCTATACAATAGAAAATAGTACTTGCATGCCGTTAACACATTCATTTTGACAGCCCTAATTTCAATTCATCCTTGCTTAATAAAAATATTAATTTCTCAAACAGTCTCAAATTAATTTTAAATGGTACTTGATGTATCAGTTGTATTAATGGGAATATACCAATATCGCCTAGACCTCTATTCATTTTACAACTAGTCATAATTTCTACAAACACATCCTTAATTTTTTTTTTAAATACGTTTGTTACATATGTAACTCTGGTTCCTTAGAAGGGAATTAGACCATACTTGCACCATTAGCCAATGATTGATGAGATTCTTCTTCAGAAACTTCAGACACTTGTCACACCTGGAGAGTGTTCCCAACATTTACATTACGAAGCACTTTTTTTGTTGAGGACAAGCCCAAAATTAGTTATCATAGTGACCAGACTTAGCTAACTTGTAACTTCTAAACAGATTGTCAGCAATTTTGTCAGCAATTTTGTCACCAATTTTGTCACCAAAGTATGGATAGATTCTAACTAGTCTCTCTCTCACACACACACACACACACACTCACACTCACACACTCACACTCAGTGTTGGTTGTTCAGGGAGACTGGACTTAACTTGACCATCATGAGACTGGATTGGATCTTGGTTGGCTTCATCTTTGCTGGTTTGCCATCTTTAAACTCGTGGGCTTTGGAAAACGCTTTCTGTAGTGTCTGTAGATCTGTGCAACACTGTCACAGTATTACATGCTTTTTCCAACAGTATTACAGGATTTATTTAAGGGTCTTACTCTTTACATTTATCTTCCGGCTTGGGTTTATTGCTTTGATTCTGCTGCTATTCTCTTATTGTCCACAGGGGGCTCCATGTTACTGTTCTGTTTCCAGCAGATCTGTGTACGAGCCTGTATTAAAGCTCTCTCCACATCCATGACTTAAATTCTAAAACCACAGCATCACTTTGCTGCATTCATTTTTTTTTTTTTTTTACTAATTAGTATGCAAGATTAGAATTAACACCCAAAAATTGTGTTCAAAGGTGCACAGATTGGATTTTTTTTAAGTGTGTATCCTTGCTTTTTTCCTGCTAATATTGCCCACAACCTCTTTCCCATTGGAAAAGGATGGTTATTCACTTTCGACTTTTTCAAAGTAAATACATAGCTATAGAAATGAACTGCAGTCGTATTTGTGAACAGCAGTTTTTTGGCAGTGACGTTGTTCCAGTTGAAGCCATGGAAGTGAATGAGACTTTGATGTTGGGTTTTCCCTCTAAATAACTCCGTCATTTTGGACTTCTTTTAAGCTGGTCTATTGCCGTTTGGGATGGTGTACAGGCCGTTGCTTTCTCCTTTCCGTTTTTCCTTTTCCCTCCTCTTTTTACTCATTTCCTTTTATTAATTACTTGTCTTTCTGTCTTTTCAGGATGAAACCTGTTAACCAATCAGCAGATCAAGACAGTGGAGAAGGAGAGTCAGAGATGGAACGAATTAAACAGGTCAGAATTGAAGTCAATAAACGAATAGCTAGCCATACGGGAATGTCAAAAATACCAGTGTTTTATGGAAACTTGATTTTAAAAATAAAAAAGGTAATTGCGACTTTTTACCTCACAATTCTACTTTTTTCCTCCATTGTGAGATATAAACTCACAATTGCAAGGAAAAAAAGGTAATAATTGCCTATTTATATCTCACAATTCTGACTTTATAACTCGCAATTCTGATTTATTTATCTTTTAACACAAAATATATAGCATAGCCTACATAGTTACATACACTATATTTGTTTCCAATGCCTTAAATATGAACATTGTTTGACAACATTGGGCATTTTTTTTAATGAAGACACATTTTTTTTTAATCCAAATAGAAAAAAGTAGAAAATGCCAAGAAATATAGCCGTAAAAAATACAGAGAGATGTTTTTTTTTTTTTTTTTTTGCCATATCGCCCAATCCTAATTTAAATAGAAAACAGTTATTTTAAATTGTAATAATATTTCACAATATTTCTGTTTTTACTGTGTTTTTGATCAAACACTAACTATGTTGAGTGAATTGTTAATTGAATGAATTATGTTAAATTATAAATTTTGGTCACATCACTTAAGGTGAGTGTCGGATGAGTTTATCCTCCTTTTAACTTGAGGCACCATCTAGGAATTTCACCTTAACAGTAAAGACCAATCAATGAGGATTGTTGAATAAAAACAAATATTGTACATTTTTAGGAGTTTGTCAGCTGACTAATCTGAAGGATTTGTGAGACAAACTAATCCAACTACTTAATTAATACAATGAATGGATAAAAAAATGGATGCATAGAACGTAAATGATTAAGTTTGATCTTGCTCTTGATTTTTCTCTTAAAGTTGGCATGGAACGGAAGTTACGATCATCTTTTCTTCCCTATCTGTGATGCATGTCTGAGTGAAACGGCTTCTCGAACAAAAAAACGATCTTGAGTTTGTCTATCGGGAATTGATTGGATGGTTGTGGTTTGCTATTGCTGTGATGTCATGCGAGTGACAGGTTGTCCCGCCCTCATGCCAGTAAACACGTCATCAGAGAAGAGATTGCGTGAATAGCAGTTGTAGAGAGGGAAAAAAGGTTTGAGAACCACTAGGTTAAGTGATATTTATGTTCCACGTGGTTGACAGGAGTCCGGTGGCGGTGACGTCTTCCACTGATTGTGCTGGGAAACAATGCAGGGTGAAAGGAGTCCGAATGAATTGCAAAATTCATTCGGTAACAAAAAGCTGTCAGATGGTTTACTTAGTTAATTGATAATTTAGTAATTAGTAATAATTTAATCATTTATTTAATTGCGAAAAACTTTTATACAGTTTATTTGGGCAAAACAAAAAAATTTAATTGATTTAATTAAGTGAATATTGACTGGTATTAGTTACTGGTAATACATTTGTTAAAGTCACCATGAAATTATAAATGATTTATCTGTGCACATCATAATTTTTTTTAAATTCATGTTAAAAAAATAACTTCCCCTCCCTCTTGCAATGACATCTCTTTACTCTTCTCCGATGACGTGTTCACTGGTTCGAACAACCTGTCAATCAAATGAGATCACAGCAATAGCAAACCCTAGTGATTCAACGATCTAATTCATTCCTGATGGGCAAAATCAAATCTAGCCCTACACTTTTATTTTGTTTAAGAAGCCATTTCACTCTGATATGTCATTTCATGCGGACTTTAAATAAAGGAGTTTGTTCTTTAGCATTTAAGTTTTTACTGTGTTATTGAAATTTGTATTGACTACTGAAAGATTTGTATTTCGACAACCCTATAACCTTGATATATTACCATGAATTTGTTTATATGCGTCTATCTGATTCTTTAGGAACTGCTAGAGGAGGTGAGAAAAGAGCTTCAGAAGGTTAAGAATGAAATCATCGGAGGTGAGAACAAGTTTTTCCCCTTCCTGTCCCTGCTGTGTTTAAAATGAAGATTATTTTTGTATTATAACATCTGTTCTTTCACAGCCTTTATTCAGGAGTTACAGAAACGAGGATCTACATAGTCCCACAGAGATGGATGGGAAGGGATTGCTCGGTCCTGAGAACCCAGGGATACACACACACACATAATCACCAAGGGACTTAACCCTAAATCATTACAATTCAACCCAAGATGAGCATTGTTGTACCTTTACCTGCCATCGTTTTCTTTCACATTCATCCATTTCTTTTCTCTCCACATTTAGTTTTACGTATTTAGTTTTCCACTTAATGATTTACATACCGTACACGTCGTCACCCTCACACTTGATTCCTGTTATACATAAATGCTCACCGTAAAACTTGCCTAAGGTTATTGTATTCAGGGAATAAAGCATATCACTTATCCCAGTGACTGTAATGGCCATATACAGACCCGCAGAGCCGGCAAGTTATGATGCAGCACTAAGACGAGACGGATCTTGGAGAAAAAGACCTGCAGTACGCACACTATCTACCACACGTGACCGGACCACCATGTCAGGTTCCACTCTTGTGCTTTCAGTTGGGAGATTTTCATGTCAGGCCTGATTTAGCACCTCTTTTTCTGTATAAGGAAAACAATAGCATATTTAACACATTCATTTGAGGCTCTGAGCGTCATGTTTTGTGTGTGTGGTTGCATGTTTGCGTGTATGGCTGCACTTGCTTCCGTTTATCGGTGCCATCTTGTATGTGGTCACCTGACCGCCACTATCCGTTGGTGCGAAACAACTGTTTTCATAGCTTCAGCCCTCATTTGAAATGTTTTTAAACTTTGTGTTGCGATATGAAATACTATGGCCATGATCATTTTTGTCTGTTGGCCATGCCAAACTGCCTTGGAAAATACATATAAATATAAATATATATATATATATAAGGTATATATATTTGTTTTGAGGGAAAATGATAGAAAACTTGATAATGTTTCTATTTTAATTGAAATAATTGGTGAATGGGGACTTATTGTGATTTATAATGTTTTCTTTTTCAGAGATTGTTATTTTCAGTTTTCTGTTATCTTTTTTGTTTCTTTTTCTATAGAATATAGGCTTTTTACACTGAAATATATAAAGAAAATTGCGTAGAGACACTGGATTAGATGTCTTTATAGTCAAATACAGATGCTTCTTCTACTGCACTTGTGTCTGCCTCGTTTTTATTACCACCGTATACCCTTATCACAAGAAAAATCATTTGAATCTATTATTTAGCCTTGTCACAGAACATATTTAGCTTATTTGTTAGGAGATTTTCTGGTTTCTCTGTTGATTAAATTGTTTGGGGTGTTTCAGATACAACAATGGATATTATAATACAGGTTAACCTAGCATGTACACATAGGATGGGAAACATTGAAGTGAAACCTGAAATCAGCTCTTAAATATTGGTTTCAATGCATAGTAGCCTACATATGACTTACTCTTGAGTTGAGGAAACATATTTGCAGCACATGTATTGTCATCACACATACTGGATATAATAAAAACAAGCTTGTTATGAAATCCAGGAAACAATTTCTTTGACTATATAAATGTTTATTTAGCCGTGGCTAAGAGAGCAACAGCAGAAGGATAATGAGCTGTTGTTTCCTGTTATGAATGGACCCAAGCACAGTTGTCAACAACTGCTATCTCACTCTGCTTTTAGAAGCCAGCCCTGATAAACACATTTGATTTTTAGAATAGAGGATTAGAATAACCTCAACAACAGACCATACTGAGCGCAATAACAATACACAAATGTTACAATTCTGCAGATAATATCTGTTCTTTAGAAATAGTTTTTTGTGTTTTCTTTGTCACGCATGTTTTCCAATTTCCACAGGCCCCTTCATATGGAAATAAAGAAGGTCATTAAAAGAACCATGAACATATATCGTGTTACGTGAATATGATCATTCAGTACAAACATGCACGCTTGTGAAACAAATACACGGCAGATCGGATTAAAGTCACCGTGAAATCAAAATGGACAAATCTTTCTTTGTTTTGTACAGGATGTTGTGCATATCATTATTATTATTATTATTATTATTATTTATATGCTCTTGTAATCGGTAATCAAAAATGTTAACCTCGGCATCTGTTCTCTTTATCATGTATCTCTCGGCAGAGGGTGGGACTAAAATCCTCCTCAACTGACTGAAAACTAGCATTTAGATCCAAGTGATGCTCACAGCAGAGCCGCATGATGTCCAGCTCCACCTCTCTGGAGTTCATGAGCTTGACCTAGTCCAGCTCCACCTCAGTGGATCTAATGGGTGGAGGGATAGAGTTATGGGTAGGGTTAGGGTGTGGTTGGACCTTCTAGCTCCACCCATTACACCCAAATTACGGCCAGAGAGGGGGAGCTGGACTTCACGCTTCACCCATGGCTCTGCAGTGAGCAGCCTATCCAAGGATCTGCCACCATTTAGTTAGCAACGCTCAACTTCCTATGATCCAATCAATTCCTGAGGACAAAATCAAGCCCCGCCCTACAAGAGCTAATACAGTTTTTGTTATCTTTATAGTTATCGTTCTTGGTGTGAACGGGCCTTTATTATTGCAAGTCTCCAAGCAACACACAGTAGTGGTGTTTCATTCCTGGAAGAATCATATTTTTTGGAATGAATAGGTTGGATGAATGATTCAATGAATCACTCATGGCTGTGTCCAAATTCGCATACATTCTAGGTAGGCTACTTGTTTTAAATAAGCAATTACTTAGCGCCCGTTCAAATCAGCATGAAACGAAAGTTGCGATCATCATTTCTTCCCCATTGTGACGCATATCTGTGTGAAACAGCTTCTCGAACAATAAAAGGAGGCTCTATCAATAACAACTGTATAGTTCCATACCGTAAGACTTCATTTGGTCAGTCTGCTTTTTCATATAAAAGTGCAAAGTTGTGGAATTCATTACCCGCTGAATTTAAAACCATGACTGAGCTTAGAATGTTTACTTCTCGAGTTAAGTCTTGGATGAAATCGAAACAGGAATGTACCCATTTGTAGATAGCTGGTTTGTGTATGTAAGTGATTTATATAGTGTGTTTATAGATAAGTTTTTAAGATGAAATAGTAATTGTTGTAGTGTAAAGGCCCAACCATGGACTGGAGTTGAAAATTAGCAATAGCTATAAACTCTTTTTGCATAGCATCAGTCACAGACTTGTTTTGTACTATGTTTAATTGCAATGTCCATGTCAAATAAATGAATAAAAAAAAATAAAAAAAAGGAGGGCGGGACTTGATTTAGTCCATTGGGAATTGATTGGATCGTTGTCGTTTGCTGCTGTAATCTCACAGGTTGATGACAGGTTGTCCCTCCCTCACGCCAGATAACACATCATCAGAGAAGTGTTGTCGCTACAAGAGGGAGGTTAAGTTATTTTGATTAAAGATTACAAGGGCATGTGAATTAAAACAATAATGATGTGCACAGATAAATCACTTTTAATAAATACTGTAATATTCCATAAAATATAAGAATTGTTCTTTTTGATTTCATGGTGACTTAAAAGAACGCTCCATATATGTCTGTAGTAGCCTATGAATGAAATCCAGACTACCTTCGTCATGTTGTCATTATCATGTGACCTATACCAGCATCAAGTGTTGCTTTGCTGCCATTCACAACTCCTCTCCCTTGGCCTCAAAGGATAGTAAATAGTCCATCAGATGCATTCAGAATACTGGCGGAAGTAGTAGGTAATTTGGGTACTTTTCAGCTATTAATTTAGGAATACTGTGAATTCGTACATATATCTATTCATGTACTACTTATATAGCAAGGCCGTAACCATGTCTTGAAGTTGAACATTTAACATTATTGTTATAGTTCTCAACAAACGGTTGAGTGAATAATTAAATGACTCACTCATAAAGACAGTTACTTGTCGCCACCTGTAACTTGCAGAAAAAGCGAGGACCGGTGTTGTGCCTGATTTCGACCCCCTGAAGTCAGTACCTGATTGCCTAATCCCAACCCCGCCCCTAATCCGAACCCTCCCCCACAACTAATCCTAAACCTACCAATGCTAGGGGGGTATAATTTGCCACAACACGGTTGTATATTCTATTCTATTCTGCTGTGATGAAGGAAATACAAGTGACCATTTTTTTTCCATAGATTTCATAAGAATTTATTTATGTGCCTCTTACAAAAAACTACTGTGGTGGTACCATGGAACAATAATGGTATCTGATAACACCATGGTACCGAATTATCACCATATTCATATACAATTGGTAATTGTTTGATCCTCCAATGCACTTCCATAGTAGCCTACAATTGTATTTTTTGAAGATTTTTTATGACTGTTTATAAAATTACCCACAAATTCTTAAAATTAGGCAATATGAAACCATGTTTATATAGGAGTAGCCTACAATAATATTCTTTCTTAACCTTAAGGCTTTAACTTTGAAAAATTAATATTGCAGAGGAACTGTGACCAACAGGAGTGTGACACATTAAGCAGCAGAGGGCGCATGCAGAGTACATGTATGTCTTATAGTATTGAAATAGTAAGAGATTAAACAATCCGGGCATGTATGATTTCCCTCTAAAATCACACCCTCGACATTAGTACATTACTGACATACAGCAACACAAAAAACGAACCTTTTCAAAATTCGGACGTTGCATGTGACGTCGCGCCGAGCGTGAGCTGAGGTCATTTCCTGTTTGTGCTCCCGTTGAGTCGCTAGACGGAGGCCTAATCGCGATACCAGCACCACTACCACCGCCGTAACATCGCTCACAGACCTACAAAGGACGGGCACGACGAGGTTTTAAAAGTCTTAAACGCGTCAGATAAGCGCTGTGGGATGAGTTTGGGCGACCGGGCTCGTGCTTTGGGCCACTGAGGGGCGGTTTGTGAGGATAATCGGGCGGTTGGGTGGTGTTATTTTTGGGGCAGCTGAGTGGTCATTGGCAGAGCTCAATACACAGCAGCTCGCGAGAGGAATAAATACACACTTCACGTCTCGAAATACCCTCGTTTCAGTCCACTTACATGGGCTTTTGAGGATTTTTACATTTCAGTTGACAAAAACAACGAAGGAGAATAAAAGTGGAGGTAAGGGACTAAAGCGTGCATCGATGATTGATGGCTAGCGTGATGTTTAGCCTAGCCCGAGTCTCTATATTTAAATTGCACTTAAATGTTATGTGCCGTTGACCATTGGGATACATTACCAGACAGAATCTCTTTACGAATGTGTGTTTCTTGTGCTTTCTGGATAGATAAACATCATCTCCCGTCATAACCCACGTTTGTTCTCCGTTTCCCTTCACAAATCAGTTTAATAATTAAAATAACGCTTATAGATCAATTTAAACCCATTTGGCGCGTATGCTTATCTCTCTCGCGGGGTCTTTGCATGTTATCTTCTTGTAAGTGCATTATTGTGTCTTGACGAAAATCTCATTATTTTAGGTAAATAAAAAAAGACTAGCTGAATTAGTGTAAATGATCGATCAGGCCCTTTACACGTTGCACAAATGGATGTGAATCTAACGTTATAGGACGAACTCGCTGTACATGCTGGATTATCAATCAAATTTATGCCACTTCGCCTTTGGTTTTATTAATAGTGCTGCCATGCTGTTCCACGTGGAGTTCAACTCTGTTTGCGTGTGTAAAATATGTAAACTTTTTTTATGTTTGAAGTGGTCAGATGTTTGACAGATATGAAATAATGCATCCACCAGGTTAGTGCGCGAGTGTAAATGAGGCCTGAAGGTTATTGGGGTTGAGAGGGGTCAGTTTTAGGACTTCTCGGTCTGGAATTATTCCACTCGGCACAGAAAATGTGTAATCATTAGTTTGTTGAAATGGTCACAGCTCTTGTTTGTCTTTCTCTTGTGGACTTCAAAGTGCGTATGTGCGCGCGAGAGAGTTGTTGAAAAAGAGGAACAGTCAGACCACTGACCAACTGATATACACGCACACTAGATGCACGGCACGTATATGCCAGCGTTGGAGACAGTCAGTGTGTTTTTAATGCCAGTGCATGTGTTAAGCAGTTGTGTAATGGACTAGCAGGGGCGTCACAAGGTGGGGATTTTATTTTGCAGGGATAATCCAGTGTTGTGCCCATGGTGATAGGACAGCATGCCAGATCTGTGCCAGAGGCACTGCTATGCCAG